TCCAGTGCCCTGAGCTGCCAGTGCCAGCCAGCAGGAGCTCCAACATTCCCCAAAAACACCAGGGTGGCATTCTGCCCTCAGCTGCCTGCCTGGAGCTCTCCTTGACTTCAACAAAACCACTGCTCAGCCAAAGAGGCCCTCAGGATGCTTTAAGCAGCAAGCCCACCGAGGCAAAGCAGGACCATCATGCTCTAAAAGTTTGAGACATTTAAAATTTGTTTCAAAACTCACATGAATCCGCTTCTCATTTGAAATTCTCAAATCTGCTTTTTAACTCTACACAGAGAGATTTCATCATCTCAAGTCAGATTTTTCACTCCAGGAGTATTATAAAACCAGGAATGAAATACGAATACATGTAAGACACTTTGTGACATCCTAGAAAGCTGTGGTGAAAATACTTCAAAATATATAAAATGCATATATATTTGTAAATTTTGAGCAGCCCAGCACCTGTTTTGTAAGAAGGCTTTCATGGGAGTAATAGCCTCAGCTTTAGCCTACTCCTGTTTCATATCCTGGGCAAGTACAATTCCTGCACTACCAAAGTGCCAAACCTCCACAGACAGTATCTGAAGAATCTCAACACACTCCTTCAGCTACAAATCCCAGCTTTTCCTCAGCACTGTGCTTCGAGCTCCCTGCGGGATAGATAAGAGTTGATCCCCAGAAATGATGTCTTTGAAGAGGATTTGGAATAAATGTATATGTAAGTAAATGCACACATCCACAGCCATTTCCAAGGTCACCACTTATGGGGGCTGCTTGCTTATATGGCTGAGAGCAAAACAAGAACCTCCAGTTGTTCAGCAAGTTCCTTAAGCACAGGCAGAGAATGAGTTATCTCACAGATTAGTGCATAGGGAGAGACAGAAGATGTACAATTAAATTATTTTGATTTGAATCATACTGCATTATGTAATAGACATAAAATATGTAATAGCCATTCTCCTCACCTGCATTTTCTGGATATGTTAATTATCACCCAGCTGTAAGGCAGATGTAGTACAGTAAGCAATTCTGCCTTTCCTCACAACTTTCTTTTTCTGCCCTCTGACTTTGCAGACATGTGAGTACCACATATACAGACACACACTGTACATCCAACAACACTTTGGGAGAGGACTGAAACCCCTAAGGCAGAAAAAACACCAGAATTTTTAAAATGGAGCTTTCTCAGGCCAGACTAACATCAATTAGTCTGAGCACCACAGCATGGACTAACAGAAATTCCATTTGTGAGAGAAGGGCAAATCAAAAGGTGTTACTTACATGTATGAGTCTTCTTTGTTACAGAAATACCTGTAGGGAAGAAACGACACCGGTGTTAGCAAAGCAACCACTGAGTAAATGCTTCTGACATATAATTCATCATTAATCTATTTTATCAGACACACAGCAGCCACTCTAAAGGAGGAATGAAAATTGCCATGATTTGTACGTTCAAGGTGGAAGGATCTCCCCTCTGTGTGAAGATTTTAGTGGTACATTCTCTCCTTACACCTCCCCAGTAATGTTTCAACATGCATTGCTTCAGCTTGGTTGCTGCAATGCAAATCTTCCCACTGCTGGCTTCAAACTGGAGCTGACACAAAAAGAAGATACCAGTAATGCTATGGAAGCCTCCTTTATTTTCCATGGCCAGAAATGTTCCCCCACTCCCATTACAGCACCCAGGGATCAGAGCAGCACAAGTCATTTGCTGTGCCATTAAGTTCAAGCAGTTCCTTGAATGCAAGCTGCAGCTTATGCTCATGAAAACCAAACAAACAGCTCTCTCAATATGACTATTGCTTGTCAGGATTCCAAGCCAGATGCAAATATCTCCAAGCCGTTAAAGATAGACTTTCTGAAGTAATAAAGATGTTTTCATGCTAGACAGGCATGTGGCAGCAATCACCAAGGATGGTCCAGTGCCAGTGAAATCTGAGAGGCATTTCAAAGAAAGCAACAGAGTGAACAGAATGAGGCAAAATTCGTAATACCAAAGAAAGATAAAATTAACTCTGTTAAATGTCATTGGAATTCATGCTTGAATACAAACAATATTGTCTCCACTTTAGTAGATAACTGGTGACATACTCAGACCCATCAGTATTTAGGCTTCACTCTCCTTGGGGGTAATTTTATGAGATGATGAGAAGGAGGTTACTGGAAGCAGTAAAAGTATTTGAAACATTTCATTTGTGATCGAGGCCTGTAATGAAATTTTGGAATTGGGATTGTCTGCCTTAATATTCATGAGAAAGGGAGAGAGCTGAATTTCCTTTGCTACCCTGCAACTCCTTCAACCATCTCTACCAAAACAAATCACTGTGGAAGGAAATAGACTTATTCAGGCTTCTTGGTTGTGGAGCATCTAAGAGAGGCAGCAAATTACAATAACTCAGAAAAATGAAGACATCTTATTTGCAAACACAGAGCTAACTTCCAAAGCAAACAGCTTTCAAATTATTCATGGTTTTGATAGACATATAAAACCCTAGTGCCAATCCCAAATATTGAGCTATCAAGTTTGACATAACTGTCATGAGGACTTTTTTTTAAAATCACACTTATGTTGCTGTTGGCATTTTGGTTTTTAACTACCAAGCTCTACAAGAGTGAGCACTGGGACCTTTGCTTTCCCTGAAAAGTTAAGAGGCTCCAGGCTTTGGGAAGTGAAGTTCTCAGTAGTTCCTTTGGGCAGTTTTGCAAATGTGCAAAACTGGTAAGCAATTTACAGAAATCAGAATAGTAGAACTTGACTATACATGTGTGTTAACTCAAATTGAAAGGCCCTGGCCAAACCTGCACATGCCTCACAAAGGAATCATATTTGTTACAGCCACAAACTGTAGAGCCAAGGTAAGCAACAAAACCAAACCTAAACCAAACCCCAAACACAACAAAAATAAACCCCTTTAGATACAACTATCTACTACAAGGGGAAAACTCATCCTTTAAATTGATAATTTTTAAGAGCAAAACCTCTTGGGTTTTCACTGCAGTCCCAGCACTATTGGCTGGCTCAGGGGAGGGGACAGGGCAGGACAGGGGTGTGCCAAGGAGGGGAGCCCTGTGACAGGAACAGCAGCTCAGGGCAACAACTGGGCCTGAGGGAGAAGGAGCAGAGAGTTCTTGAGCTCCTTCATCAAAATGCATTCATGGGGTTCATGCAGGGCTTGGGATGAGTGCAAACCCCTCTCTCCAGGTCCTTTCAAGGGTCTGGCTCACCCTGTGAACTGGAAATTACAGCTGCTCTTGGCCCATTGGCTCTTCCAGCAAAAAGAGCATTTTTGCTGCTGTTTGACTCCTTGAGTGACCCCTGAGCATCAGCATCCTCATCTTCACAAACTGCCCAACATCCCTTGGCAGACCCTCCTGCCTTGCCCTTGCCTATCTGTCTGATTCCTATGATTTTAAGGAAGTTTTATGCAATGGAAATGCATAAAGAAGAAAAGGTCTGAAATCTGAACATCATTTTCAAAACTTCCTCTCCCAACACTAGTGCTAATAAATGGATACAGCAGTGCTCTTTCAGCATTATGGGAGCCATATGTGTACTTTTCTCAGAAAATAATGCTTTCTGTAAAATCACTTTGAACAGAAAGTGCTTATGCTGTCACTTCTGATTACTCACAGCCTCTTCACAATGGGATTTGCCACAGCACAAAACAGACTTAGCCGTATTCGCTGACTGAGGACCCACTTTCCCTGGTACATGAAACACTGCACTGATGGAAATATTACTGCTCAGATTTTTCTACCTTTTTTTTTTTTTTTTTAATGTGAGATGCGTAGTGGGTTTTTCCAAATCAGATGTTTCCATAATAATTACTGATTATCATCTGGTAAAACCTTTTAGCTGGTTTATGCAGATATTTTTAGATAACCTTTTAAAGCAACAGCTTAGAGGTAGATATTTTTGCATCGCCTTCATCATTCCACTGGTGGTTGCATTGAAAACAAACTATTTTGCTTTGAGCTGTGGTTTTTAAGTAGCTGCAATCTGGTGGAACAAGGATAAATGCTGCCAGTGAGCTCAACAGGATCACCTTTAAATTAATCAGTAATCTTCACTGATGTAAAATAAATTATGAAATTTTACCTTTTCACACAGGTAAATCTAAGCCACAGAAAAACTGAGCAAAAAGGTACCAGCATATCCAAAAAGTTATATATATAAATTATATATAAAATCTTAGTTATAATGTATCTATATTTTATGTATCTAAATTATTATTTAATACATCTATATTATATTTACAATGTAATGTATTTTAGTATATTATATGTATATTATATATAATGTATATTACACTATATATCTTATAACATACATTATAACTAGTGAATTAAATATAAACATTGAAGATGCAACACTGAGCAAAAAGGTACCAGCATATCCAAAAAGTTACTTAAATTGTATGTAAGATCTTAGTTATAATGCAGATTAGATTTTAGCATATTATATTAATTGCATATTGTATTCTATTATATGCATATTATATGTATATTATACTATGTATCTTGTATTGTAAGATACATTATAACTAGTGATTTAAATATAAACACTGAAGATGCAACACTGTGATCAGGTTTAGTAGCACTGCAGGAAGCCAATGACTGCTATTCAGGACATCCAAGGTAGGTAATAATAACCTAGAAATGAGTGCATGTGGAAATAAAAATCAGTCAGAAAACCATTTAATGAAAAAAGGGGGAGTTACAGGACTGGCTCTCTCTGGGCCAGGGCTGCATCCCACTTGCACCTACATGTGAATGCCTGTCCTGTGCAGCCAATGCATCAGCCCCCAAAATCAACAGGGTCTCTTGAGAAACCAATTCTGCAAGTCCAGCACACACCAGGAATTTTCTTCACAAGATCAAGCACAATTACCAAGGATTGCTCATGTTTGTAAATATTTCTGAGGACCATCAGTTTATGTAGTAGAGTATGGTGTTTGAGTAGACCCCACAGAATAAAACAAAACCCAACACACCACTGAAAGACAGACTTATTTTTAATAAGCAGAGCACAAAGAAGTTACTGATTCCTTAAAAGAATATTAGTTAATAAAAAAATCCCATTTTTAAATGGGTTTCATTTCAATATGTGATAGGCTGGAGAAGTGAGTGACTGCTTGCCAGCTTTAGCACTCTCCTACACTGCCAGCATTCCATAATCTCTGAACAACAAATATAAAAAACATACAGAGAGGAAGAAACAACACTGTAACTTCAGTGTTGCTAATACAGAAAGACTTCCTGACTTAACCAACTAGACTTCAAAGTAAAGCAAAGGAAATGTCATGAAAATATCACAATCTATCAGTGCCATGGTTATCAGTGAGTGAAAGTTTCAGTATTACAGTTATCACAGAATGCATCACTTCCGCAGTGCAATTTGACATTCCTCATCAACACCAAATCTGAAACAAATTAACTTCTTACGCTTTTCATCGTGGCTATGCACTGTTCTTTACAACAACAATTGATTTTTTTTTTAAATGAAAAGAACTTCAGCACCATTGCCTTTCCCCTCCCACTAACAGTATGTAATTTGCCATGATGGGTGGTATTTACAAAAATAGCTTGCTGGATGCAATGAACTTTGAAAAGAGTATCTACCAACAGAGACAGGATATTCTTTTGCAAGCAGTTAGCCTGACTGACCTTCACTAGCCAACTTCAAATAGAGATAACAATGTCTTAAAGTACAAAAAGAGACTCACATATTTTATACATCATAAGCTATTTCTCACAGTTGCCCATCCAAATAAAGCAGCATAATGAAACACTGCTTACTCTGTGAACTCAGATCCCTGCTGCTGTTGTACAGTTGTCAGCTCCCCGCATTTCAAGGGGAAATCACACTTTGATGTACAGAAAGATAAGTAAAAAGGTCTTTGTCTGGGAGAATACATTACTCTGCAAAATATCAAAGAATATTCTTGAGTATCATTTTCTTAAACCTCCAAGAAAACAGTCCCTCAGAAGTGTGGATGGATAAACAGAGGCATCACCAGCAGAGCTCCCAGCCCCTCCCCAGGACCTGTGTTAAGCAGCACTGAGTTTGCTCTGCTCTCTGTGTGCCAGGCAGGTGACCCACACTGCTCTGATGACATTCTGCAGGTGCCATGGGTAGGAGATGCTTTGCACATGTGGGTGTGTGCATCAATACAGGTTTGGGATTTTTTAACTTTCTCCTACTCTCCCCTCAGGCCAGCATTATGTCCCTAGTGTATTTTGGAACTTAGGCATTTTAGGATGGACTGGAAATCCCAGGGGGAAAAAACCCCAAACCTTAACATTTTAAA